CCATCAGCCTAGAGAGAGAAACGAAAATATTTTTTATACCCTGTGCACCCGATATTCCAGAAACATTCCCTTTTTCGCGAACAATGAAAGGACGCTCCGAAGCCAACCACACACTACTTGTTACCGCGGAAGCCTGAGCAGCACCCGCAATCCTAGGCGACTGGAACATCCTGTAATACATCTGTAGGCCTGTTGCATATACAAGCCGCGTCATAGTACTTGGACCACGCCTAACATCTACGCCTAACGGAACATCATAAAATGCGGTGCACTCGGTACACAAGTGTATTGCATGATTCAGAGTTACAAAAGCCAACGAAATAGCGTGAAACAGGGGCCAGTACATGTACACGCCTGCGATGGATCTTCCTTTTCATCATGCATGTCCACAGGAAACAACTGTAATTGGTAGCCAATTTGAGGCCGAGACTTAAAAAGTGACACGGTTCAGAGAAGCTTATCATCGGGACACGGGTTGCTATCTGGAAGGCAGTAGCACAGCTAAGTCACGCTGGAAGCTGATGAAGTCACTCCATCAGCATGAAACATATTGCTACACGATAGGCGTGAATGAGCGTGAATAAAACTGGCCTGTGCAGACCATTAGCAGATTTAGACTGTGCACAGACAAGTGGAGTGAGTCAGCTCACGAACGCGCAGCCGGGGATGAGAGCATGTAACCAATAAAATTAACCTTGTTCTGTTCCTGATACACTTCTGAATCATATTTTGAAGGAACAAGATTTGCGATTCAAATGTGAACGTAAAGAGGGAATCCGAAGTACCGTGAATTTTCGCATTTTCCGTCAAATGCACCAAAGAATGCAAACTACAGGTCATCTTGCCTTCCCCGTATAAAACAAAATGTTTCTCAACAAACACACGCCAAAGAGAGTCTGCAAAACCTATACGTTCCGTGTGAAATGAGAATGACAAAGCATAGATATCTAAGAGCAGGTCCAGGAAGTTCGTGTCTACGCATTCCGGTAGTAAACCTAGTAAGCAAACCGGACCAGTGTACAACAACACCTGCCGGAACTTGCAGGCCCTGAAAAAAAGAATTCGTCCGATGAGTGGCAGTGACGGAAAATTGCGGACGGTAAAACTGAATGGCATTAAAGTAAGCGTTCGTTAATCAGTTGCACTGACTGAAAAGCGACTACACCTTAATGTGGTGCGATGGTTTGCATACCCCCTTGACCCATTGAGCTATATGGGGTGATGCCTCCTGGCACCTTGAGTCTTACTTCTACTAGGTTGGTCAATGGTGAGTGGTCAGACAAACTCAGTCTCCTGGTTCTCCAGGTTGGGGGTTTGAAATAGGATGGCGTCCATTTCTGTAAAACTAAATCATTGCCACCTCTCCGCTGTCTTGCGGACAGGCTTTTAAGCCAAAGGCTTTGGATGAGGACCCTAATCGTCCTTCTGTCTAGGGCTGGGCGCCCTGGCACTATGTCAGCCCACCTACAACTATGACTTTTTTTCAAACATGAGCCTCATCTTACATCGGCCGTCACGCAATGATCAAAAGTCGCTTTATCTGCGGCATGCAGCAGGGCGGATAAGCGAAAACGTGCTACTGATGGCGCCTCCCTTCTTTCTTTTCTACCTGTTTCTTTTGCTCCCATCCCGACCCCCATTACTAACCTCCCTTCTTTAATTTCCAGCTTAATTGACAGCAACCGAAGTGCCACTGGAATAGAATCGTCTGCAGTAACCAGTCCACAACACCTATCGGACGCCTATCCGCAAAAGTCCCTTATAAGGCCACGCGGTCCCGTATCCATGGCAACGTCCAGCGTTCACACTCTAAGACAAGCAGTTCAACAGGCTGCACTCGCACGCACCATAGACACACTGGGTATTGATGCGTGTTGTGTGTCCGAAACTAGGATCAATGACACTAACGAGGTTATTGAATTAACTTCATCCGGCTTATCGTCTCGTTATTGTTTGCGCGCATCCGGAGACGCCGATGCAGCACTCACGGGTCAAGCCGATGTAGGTATCACTCTAAGCTCCAAGGCTGAGTCATCTTTGGTTGATTGGATTTCGGGGAACAGCCGTTTATGTGCAACCCGTTTGACTACCTCAAATAAGATTGATCCACGAAGTAGTACAAAACGCTGTGTTTTTGTATTCCGCTTATGCTCCCACCGACTGCAGTTCTAATGCTGTCAAGGACACCTTCTATCACGAACTGAACGTGCCACTACGCAGTGCTACTAGTTCAGGTATTATAGTACTTGCAGGGAATATGTACGCACAAGTAGGGCGTCTGTGCTCTTCAGAAGCTCAGCTGGGTGGTAATTATGGGGTTAATACCGAAAGGACGGACAACAACGAGTGTCTGCTGCCATTGTATGCGGAGCACCAGTTGTTTCTTAGTAGCACTGCTTTTAGACACTGTGGGCGCCGAAGTGCCACTTGGCGTCCTCCTGTAGCTGGCCAGCGATGGACCCAAATTGACCACATAGCCATAAGTTACAGGTGGCGTGGTTCCATCCTGGATTGCTGCTCGTACTGGAGTACCTACGTCGACTCTGATCATGCCTTGCTACGCCGTCGTTTCTCCATGAACTTTACCGGGAGGCGCACCAAGTCTCTCCTCCGATTTGCAACTGAGAAATAGTCTCAGCCCTCAGTCAGGCAATCCAATCAAAACGCACTGCATACCGAACTTCCGCTGTCTTGTTCTAATGACACTGAGCTTCAGTGGAATAGGATTTCGGCCGCCATGCACAACGCAGGAGAATCTGCTTGTAGCACTATCAATCGTCACCGCACCAGTCACTGGATATCCGATAGGTCGGTGAACCAGTTGGAATCCAGTGGAAACTTCCCGGCTGGCTCTGAGCACAATGTGACCAGACGGGCTATTAGGCGCCTACCTGCTGACAAGGAAGCCTGGTGGACTAGCTGGGCTCAAGAAATGGAGGAGGCAGGAGCAATTGACAATTACCGCAAGCTCTTCCAGCTGATCCGCACCACTGGTCCCAGCAAACTACGCGTCAGTGGGACAATCAGATTCAGCGCGGGTGCGCTGATACACAATAAGGAGCGCAGTATGTCTCGTTGGGCGGAACACTTTCAAGATCAACTCAGCTGGCCACCTGTTCCCGGACCTCCTCCTACTCAGGTGATGCAGGACGAGCCATGAACAGTTAGTTTACAGCCTCCGTCGGAAGCCGAGGTCCGAAACGCGATCACAGCTCTCAATCTTTTTGTGCTGCTGGCCCGAATTCCCTCCCACCTGCACTATTTAAGGATGGAGGTGCGGTCCTCTGCAAAGCACTGACCTCCCTATTCGAAAGTAGCTGGAAGGAAGAGAGTGTCCCGGCTGATGGGATCGAATCGATTATAGTGGCAATATACAAGAAGGGCAGTCGCACAGACTGTTCTAACCACAGGGTATTAGCCTAACGCCAGTTGTGACAAAATTACTGGCCTTGATTCTCATGCGTCGCCTCACTGTGGAACGGGCATCTCGGATTAATGAAGTGCAGGCAGGTTTCCATTCTGGACGTGGCTGTATAGACCATATATTCACTTTGTGACAGGTGATAGAGCAGCTCGACGGATACCGCAGACCGACAGTAGCTGTGTTCCTCGATTTCAAGAGTGCGTTCCATTCAGTTGATCGACCGATTATACTCAAAATACTTGCGCGGAAAGGTGTTCCCACGGCGTATGTGAACATTCTACGTACTCTATACTCGAACACTACAGGCCGCGTTCGGATCTACGGTGAACGTGTCGGATAGTTTTCCGACCACAAGTGGCGTTCGTCAGGTTTGTCCAACTTCCCCACTTTCGTTGTCATTTGTTGTCATTAGTTTGTATTCATGAGCCTGAAGTACATTAAGTTGCAGCAATCGAAATAAACCTGATTGCTCATAGAATTTCTCTTAGTCTGAGCGTCCTTCTCTGTTATAAGCCTCTGACGAGACGCATTAACTAGGTTTCTAAGCTACCGCTAGATGTTGCGGGTTAGTTGTGGACACAAATTGAAGTGCCATTAGAACTGTAACAGAATATCTGAAATTGCAAAGCATCCAAAATTAAGTAACTAAAGCGGTCAAATCAATCGGAATTAGCTTGCAGTTTTAGCTACCTGTGGTAGCCTAATATGTCAGAAGGGATGAGCTTACATTTCCAGCAGTTGTGAACACTCGCCCGAAAGTTCGGCGAGGTACACATCTGGTTGCTATCCATACAGCAATCCCGCCTGTGATTGCCAACCTGATACTTGATCATACCGGCGAGAAATCACTGATAATCGTTCAGAATTACATCTCCAAAATCTCTGTGTTGCCGCAAACAAATGCATTGTGCCTATTTCCAACGTGTACAATAGTAGTAGTTTGATTTGTTATTGAAATTACCTGTTGCAGTTAGATTTATACGGACCGCCACCAAACGTTTGAATAAGAGCTGGACTACTGTTTTGTCCTGTGGGGAAGCTTAAGCGATGAGCTTTCACTGGTTCGCGCATGATTCGAACGCACGTCCTTCATTTTACGTGACAGCGACTTAAGTGAATAAGCCGTGTGAGGGCAGCGGAGTGCCATGATGGCAGCCGTTGAATCATGACCGGTAACTGCTACACGTGCCACAAGAAAGCAACAATCACCCAAGCAACTGGAATACCGCTTCACACGATAATGGCTTGCAAGGAAATTTGTGGCCTACGGCGTCAAAGCTGTTCTCCGCACGTTCGTAACATGCACGACAATAAAGGGTGACCAACGTCACATCGAAAACGATGAACAGGAATGACAGTCTACCGCCGTTACTAATGGCCCAGTTGCCTAAGCCACTTTCCAGAGAGGAGAGTTATAAACAGAATCTCACAAGGATTCGGTGGATTCGCATAGCGGAATATTCCCTATATATATATATATATATATATATATATATATATATATATATATATATATATATATATATATATATATATATATATATATATATATATATATATATATATATATATAACACTTGGCCAGCAGTACGGTTGCCAGTGTTCCGCAACGTTTGGACAAGGACAATACTACCTTAATGAAAGAATAGGGGGGTTAAAGAAGAAATGTGGAACGGCAGTTATAGGGACAGTGTCTCATAACAAGTTCGCCTTTGCTTACGGTTTCTTGACATGTCCGACAGGGTTTCCAGTCACTTGTGCTTGTGCCCTCAACCAGTAAGTCCAGAGCGCCATTACACGGTCAAAACTGAGATCAGCGCCTTTATACTTTTGGCCCAAGTCATTCGCTTGCCAATTTGTCTTCGCTTCCAGCCGATGTCTGTGCACGTAATGAGTACACCGTGAGGGAAATGCGAAGTAGGCATGCGAAGCACTTGCATAAGCAAGCGAAGCCTGCGCAGTGAAATTATGCGGCTCAGCGGCCGGCAAAGCCTGTCTGATCTGAGAATCCTTCGGCGAACATCCTAATTATTAATGTGATGTCATCGTACACCAGCAATACTCCAGAGGCAGCAGTAATCAAAGACAGACGGCCTTCAGACATCCTCCGCGCACAGGCCAAGTCTCGCAGCCATAGAGTAGGACCGTTCTCATTGTGGCAATGTAAACTCGGCCTTTCAAGGATAGACCCAGAGCGCGTGCAAGCCAAAGATGGCGGATATTTGCAGAAGCGACACTTACCTAAGCGATGTGGAAACAGACCTCATCCGGTAAGCCATTATTGCTGATTCAGCTTCCAAGGTGTACTAACTTGTTTATCATATCCAAAGAATGACCTGCAAGGGTAAGGGCGGGAGCAGCTTCTAGCCAGTTCTGCACGAAGACCCTAAATTCGAAGGGGCGTAGGTCATTCCATACTGAGACAGACACCTTTAACCTGCGCAGTACATTTTGGGAGGTCTGTGAGGAATCCCAGATTACAGCCATGTAGTCTGCGTACTCCAAATCTAGAAGTCGCCCCCCCCCCCCGGAAAAAGCTCAATGCGGCTTGGTCTACGGTTATTCAGAGCGCTCTCCAAGATGTCATCTATAGTGAAATTCAACTGGTTTGTTGATACTAAGCAGCCATGTCTCATGCCATTGGTGATACTAAAGAAGGGGTGAGAGTCCGCCGTACAGCAGAACGCAGCCCGAGATTCGGGCGTAGATGGCTTGGTCGTACTTTCCAGGCACTCCCCTTCTCATTTAAAAACTCCAGAGAGCAGCTAGGTCGACCGAGCCAAACGCAGCTCGTTTGTCTAAGAAGATGACCATCCTTGGCCGGCCGATAATCGCTTAAGGCTTCTACTTGGACTCCATGAATGTCGGGAAGACACTAGTGACTGTCACTGATCACTGGTGTGCTTCATCGTGGCTAGTGAGGTAGGTATTTATGCTTCGTCCATTGTTCTCAAATTCTTCCGTGAGTAAAGTCCCAGATCTAGAAATCCCACAATGACTCACGAAATGCCCAGTTATACTCTTGCCATTGAGACTTGATTTCTGTCTACCATCCGGTGTAGTTACATGTGACTCTCATGGAACTCGGACGTCAAGCACCCCGCCAAGTTTATTTTCACTGATTTAGTTGGTCAGAGTAGCGTACAACTGTGGAAATAGCCACGCGCGGTCCCTTGTTAATACTTTCCGTTAGTCGGATATCCTAGACTGGACATTTTTTTACTTCCAAAAGCAACCTATGGTGTCATCCTCCGGTTTCCTGTCCAATAGCTGAGTTATCCGGTTTGAATTTCGTCGGATGTGCTGATGGGACTTCGGCCATTGGCATGTAGTGGCTTGCATTGCATTTTGAGCAAATTGTAAACTAGCCAGCGTTGATGCGAATTCATTTGGATCTGAGTCTATTGTGATAATGAGAAAACATTTTGAATACCCCACGAGGACCGGCTTTAACAACCATGTAAGCGGGGAATCTTTGAAGCCTGGCGTTTTTCGTTTTCTCAGCGTTGTGAAAAGTCGAGAGAGAGCCAGCAGGGACTGATTCACGCCACCACTGACCTGTTCACCAACGGAACGGGGAGAGTCATCAGATGAGTTGACTACTGGCACGACTGTCGATACGGCGACCGAGGTTACATCTGAGTCTTCTCTGGTCTGCGGATTCTCCCAACTGGCCAAGTCGGCTAGGATTAGCGTGGACCTTGCCTCGTTCTGTCTTCCGGCCTTCTGCTGACCATCGATGGTAAGATGAACCAGAAAGTGACCTAGTCTGGAAGTGTGTTTGCTGTTTTCTTTACTTCGGAGCCTATGTACAATGCTATCAAATTCTGAACTATTGGTGAGTTCAAAGGACTTCAGGGATAATGTGCAATCTCCGTTGTTGCTATGGGCAATGCAATCCCATCGAGACAAGTGACCTTCTTTCAGCAAATCCGTGACTCCCTCATCTGTTACCGAAACAGCTCTGAGATAGATTGTGTATGTCCACGCTACGCGTTGCCGGACAAGTGAAAGTAGCAGATGCACAGTATCTTGAGCGATCCCTTTGGAGGCGTAGGCATTATCTCCCTGTTGGCTAGAAGCATTTCCAAACATGGTAAACGATTTGCCACTGTGTTTGGGTCCATAAGTCATGACGCACAAGTTCTGTCCATCCAAACACTTGGTTATTGGTTGACCCAATTTTTTAAATATTTCATAATGTCCACTTCCTGCTCCAATTACCCTCTCAAAAATAAAGCAGCGCAGTTGCTCGCCGTCAAGAGGTTGCAACGAGTCAGTTCGATTTTTTAGGCTGTTTTGATTCGGCGGAACTTTCGGAAAAAGCAATTTGTCATCCGAAATCACTTTCAGATAATTTGCTGGATGTGGTTTGATTCGACAACTTACGTGAATTGTTCCTACTAAATCCTGCAGTCGCTTGGATAACCGTCGTCTTTGTTGTTCTTCTTCTTTCAGAATTCCAGTGAGTTCTAGTTTACGATATTCCAAGGACTTAATTTCTGCTTGCAGCGCCTCCAATTCACTTCTCTCAGCCAAGTCAAGTTTCTGTGCAAAATCGTCGGACTTGGTAGGGGGTGCCATTAAGCCTGAAACTTTTTGGCTTTCTTCCCATTTGCTACTAGTATCGTGTGTCACTTCAGCTACGGTGACCTGTTGTCCAGTTTTGCACTTCGACATCGCAAGCTCCTTGTCATGTACCTCCTGTTCCAGTCGCTGAATTTCGGTTTCCTGTTCACATACTTGGGCTTTCAGTTGGTTCCTTTGTTCTTTCGTCTTCTTAAGTACATGAAACAATCGACATTTCATCTCGTTTTGGTGCTTTATCTCTTCGGTTGTTAAGCTATGATTGGCCAATAAATCCTGTATGAAGACACTAGAGATAGGGATGGTCATGTCAAGAAATTCATATATTGAAGCACGCCGATTGCAACCAGGAAGTTCAAGGTCCACATCAATATCCAATAGGGCATTTTCCATTGCGGTTCCATAATCGAATTTGGGATTCCAGGGAACTGAACAAACTTCTTCAAAATATTCGTTTTCAACACTTCTCCTCTCTGAGCTATTTCCATCCATCGACGCTTTCCCGTTCTCAGCGTCACATTTTGTTTTAAGTAAGGTAGCCACTTCCAATAGATTTTTATACCTCATCTTCCACTGCTTTGCCATGAAGGCATGTTGTCCCTGAGTGGCTGCCTGCGCTATCAGCGCCTTCTCATAGGCATCCTTTTTACTGGCTACCTTGAAGGCGAAGTCATCCAATAATTCCTCTAATGGTTTGCATTCAGCACTCACACGTACTCTGTTTCGAATTGCGTCCAGCAATCTTAGATTTTCGTCCTCTAAGTAGCGCAGACACTTAAAAAGTCGGTGGTAGAAAAATTTGTACTTCGAACAGCTTATATCATTAAGAGAACAGGTTGACGAAGATTCCCAAATCGTGCTTGACGTTCCGGTGTCGATGTTTCCGCTTGTATTATTTGAGGGAGGCAGGGAGGCTTGTTCAGACAGACGCTGAGAATAAGGCTCACCCTGCATTTCGGTAACGTGATTTAGCCGATCCGTCAGATGACGGAAAAATTTTGAATTGGGCTTAGCTAGAAATCAATATATTTCCTGCTCGGGGTTCATACTTATACTAAGATATGGTTGACGGTATCCGGTTTCGGATTTGCCTGTCACTGTGGCCAGCCGCAGAACGCCTACGCCTACAGACGCACCGTGGGTGGCTTGCGCTGCACCACCCACAGTTCCATCCACACATCCCATATCCAGTGCAAACCCGAAGGAATAAGACCGGGAGGCATGTGGATGGGAGCCATGTTTCATCAACGGAGCCGGCTCACACTCCTTCACAGGCAAACACAAGCACCCTGTATTTGGGAAACAAGCGCACACAAGGCGGTGGCTGAACCGTAGTCCTCTCCACAATGAGTGCATGGAACTACTCTTCGAGCCTAGCACGGCCACAAGGATTGTCCACCCCACCCCCTCTAGCAATGGCCAAGTGTATCCTGAAGCCAGTATGGATGAGGTAGTGGATAATAAACAGGTGGGCACCTTGTCAACATGCACATCAAGCGCAGCCACACCGGGGTTATCAAGCAACAGCCAATCACTTGAAACGAGAACATGAAATTAAATAAATCGGATAACGCATAAGGATACGGTGATATAACTCTAAACTAAATGAACGTTTAAAAAATTGGTTACGCGCGAATCGGCAATAAATGCAAGACGGCAGAAAATATATTTTAAGAAAAGCCACAAATGCAAAAATATTATCGAAATTAATTACACTTAGTTTAAGCAACTTGTGAAAGTTTATAGAAGCTAGTACAGGTAGACTATAATATGAGAAAGAAAGCCATTAGGACAAAATTGAAAACCCACCACCTAAATAAAGAGACTTAGCATACAAGCACGCGGTTAGTAAATCGAATGCAGCGTGCCTACATACCCTGCGTCGGTTCTGCCTACGTTCTCTGCAGGACCCGTCCTCGCTTCGGTAGTGGCCCCGAGTGGCCTCGCTCATGGCTCCCTAGGCCTGCCTGACTAAGGCACTCGCGACCGCATGTGCTACAGCACCATGCGCTCGACGTCGATGAAGTACAACCCATCGGTGCTTGCCGCTTCCGCACTTGCCGCTTCTTCTCTGCATGCATGAGGGCTTTCTGCTGCACCTCGGCAACTGCCTTCGTGATTAGATCGCGCCATGCATGCCGATCAACCGCCTTCGATTCCCATGATCTGCAATCAAGATTAGAACGTGAGGGGCTCACTTTAATCATGTCCTGGTAATGAAACTTCAATTTTCCCACACGCAGCTTCCCAATACGCAGCTGACCATACAATAGTTGTTTCGGTATACGCGTCGAATCCATACGGCTCACATGACCGATCCACCTCAGGTGTCTCAGCAAAACTATGTAGTCCACTGCAAACATCCCACTTCGGCGCAACACTTCCGTGTCAGCAACTCTGTCGCCCCAAGTGATGCGCAGAATCAATCGCAAACACAGTTGATTGAACCGCTCGAGATATCGCACATCCCGCCAGTACATCGTCCATGTTTCACTGCCGCATAGAAGAACGGACAGCACCATGGATTTGTACATCATCAGCTTCGTGCCAATGGTAAGCTGATGGTTGTTCCACACTAGATACTCAAGCTTCCCGAATGCCGCCGCTGTCTTCGACACGCGGATACGAAGCTCACTGTGTATATACTGATCAGTCGACATCATACTCCCAAGGCAGCAGAAGCGGGAGGTGGTTTGCAGTACTTCAGCACCAATGCTGATTTGCGGCATTATTGAAGATTGCACCTCCGGTGAAGGCTGAAATAGATAGACAGTTTTGGTTGTGTTGATGGTGTGTCCGAATTTGACCGCTGTCGAAGCCAGAGCACTAGTCATTTGCTGCAACTCATCCACGCTGTGTGAAAACAACGCACAGTCGTCAACAAACAGTAACATACGGATAGTGGTCTCACAGACTAGAGTTCTCGCACCGAAACGACGGATGTTCAGCAACCCACCATCAATACGGTGCTCTACATGTACACCGTAAATACAAGCGGTATCAAATGCACGAGACGTCATTTCATGAAGATATGTATTAAACAGGATAGGAGCTAAGACACAGCTTTGCTTCACACCAGAAACAACTGCAAAATCATCCGAGGTCTCTCCACTCAGCTGCACCCTCACCCGCATACCACTCTGCAAACATTCAATTAAATTTACAGACTTACTCGGACAACCAAACTTATCCAACACCAGTCAAATTGTTTCACTGTTCACCGTATCAAGTGCCTTGGTGAAATCAACAAAAACCGAGTACAACTGCTGGTGTTGTTCTCTGCACTTCTCCTGCAACTTACGAACCGCAAACATCATATCTATAGTGCTATGACCCGAAAGAAATTCACACTGATCTTCCGCCATGTTAGGTTCCACAACATGACTGAGGATGCGGTTAAGCAGAATTCGGTCAATCACCTTGCCCACACAACTCAGCAAGTTGATACCACGATAATTCGTGCAACATTTCCTGTTACTTTTGCCCTTGTACAGTGGTAGCCCAATGACATTCATCAGCTCAGGAGGCCACTGCTCCTCAATTTCTACAGGTTGCACCAAGTGGTGCAACGTAGTCACTAAAGCCGGTCCGCCGTGTTTCAACACTTCAGGTGGAATCCAGTAGGTACCGACACACTTAACGTTTCGCCGCTGAGCAAATGCTGTCTGCGTCTCATCCACTGGCGGCGTGTCCGCCAGACTCGTCTTCACATCGTGCTGCTTCAGGCCGTTCGATGTAGGCCAGTCGATATCTGAAGAATTGTTCAAGAAACAGTCAAAGTGTTTCCATCAGATCTGCGTTACGTCTGCAGTTTTTGTGCAGGTAGCGCCTGAACTACCATCGATCAGCGTCCGCAGCTGCTCCAACCTCGGTCCATACACCGCCTTCAAGCAGTCGAGGAATTCCTTGTGTTGGCGGCGTTCGCCGTAGCATTCCATCTGCTTCGCCTACTCCGCCCAACATGCATTTTTTATGCGACGGAGCTCTCGGGTCAGTCGCCGTGGATGTTTGCGGAACTGACTATTCCTGAACAATCACTGGGGTCTGCGACATGTGCAGCACATGCTGCATTCTTCGCCGACACCAATGCGCCGATCGTCGCATTGATCTCACCAAATCAGTCAGGTTGCATACAGTTTGCGCGTCCCATCGTCTCCTCATCAGCAGCTGTCACCTGGTCGCGAATGTGGTGCCACAGGTCGCCCGCTGTGGCTATGCCGTCCACATTACACAGGCGTGCAGCCATCGGTTTCTCCAGCTCAACACGTTTCTCCACAATACCGAGGGAGGTAATCTTAAATTTACGTCCATTCACGGCGGGAGTGCAATACATAGTTTTACGAAAATATATGTACAGTTTGGTTCGCACCAACTTGTGATCAGTGCCACACTCAGCTCCACGTATTACACGTGTCATGCGCACTTTACGCATATCACGCTGACGCACGATGACATAGTCGAGCAGGTGAGCGTGACCACTCCGTGGGTGCGTCCAAGTTGCTATATCACTCGCACTCCGTGTAAACCGAGTGTTCGTGTTCGTCAGGTCGTGAGTGGCACACAGTGAGAGCAGCCTATCACCGTTCGCATTCGCTGGACCAATGCCATGCGAACCGATAACATCTGTCCACACCGATGCATCACACCCAACGCGCACATTGAAATCCCGCGCAGAAATAGTCGGTCGCTCCTCGGAACAGACCGTATTACGGATGATAGCTGAGTGTAGAATTGATCACGCGTGTCATCAGGATAACACATGGTCGGAACGTACGTGCTTATGAAAGTGGCAAACTTCCGAGTTTTAGGCGAACAGTCATCAGTCGCGCGCTGATGCCTGCTGGTTCGTCTATCATGGGGCCATGGAGGCGACCGGATATTGCAAATCCGACCCCATGTTCGCTTGTGGCTGAGGCGGCGTTACCTACCCAGTGGAACGTGTAGCCAGCACCTGCTTCATGCAACTTACCTTGCTCAGCGAGCCGTGTTTCACTGAGCGCCGCAATATCGATATGGTAGCGCGCCAGTTCCATCGCGACCAATGCAGTGCTTCGCTCGGGGCGGTCATTCGAGTTCCGGTCCAGCAGTGTGCGCACGTTCCAGCACCCGATGCTGTGTGCTTTGCGCGCGGGCATACGATTGCAATGGTGGGCGATCGCACGCGAGGTGGTCGTTGTGCTTCGTAGGTTGGCTTGACGGACTTCACCCGGAGCCTTTGGCTTAATATCGTGACTCACAAGGCAGTGAGTTATTTGGGGGTTTGCTTAAGGGACTCCGCCTGGAGCCTTTACCTAAACAGCCTGACCCTTAAGGCAGTGGGTAACAGATCTACCTAGGGAATGTGAATGCAGAGACAGATTAGGACCTGCTTAACGGCCGTCGCATGCAACCTTGGAGGTACTGGAACGATTCATCTGTGTTTTGCGACCGTAGTGGGATACACCTGCGATCACGGCCAGACGCAGGTGGGTTTTCGCGGATTTGCACCAATTTGACCATGGGTTACCTGGCTTGAGGTGGGCAGTAGCAAAGCATTTGACACCCGGAAGTGCCCTCCCACTGTCAATAAACTTGTGTGACGCTCGTGCTCTACGCCAATCGTGTTGTGATCCTATAACTCGTAGACCTGTTATGTCCCATGGCTAGGTTTTACGGGAAGACGGCCATCCATCACTTCCTAATTTTTGAAGAGGATGGACTAGGATACTGGCAGGGCGCCCACACCTGACAGGATAACGACTCGGGTCCTCAGCCAAAGCCTTCGATTAAATGTACACGCGAAATGCAGCGGGTCTATCACATGGTCAGTTCACTGACTCATGCGGATTGGTTTCCTGAATCTTAGCAGGGAGAAGGGAGTAATAGAACACCCACCCAGCGGTCTCCACCAGGAGGTGTCCAGGACATGTGCCAATGGCGCAACAGTAGCAGCAGTGGGTAGGTCATCTGTCAGGATCTAGCCACCACCTGCTTCAGCGAACCAT